GAGAGAGAGAGAGAGAGAGAGAGAGAGAGAGAGAGAGAGAGAGAGAGAGAGACGAGACCGTAGGAGGAGGAGGAGGAGAAGAAGAAGAGAGAGAGAGAGAGAGGAGGAGGAGGAGAAAGGAGGAAGGAGGAGGAGCATGAAGGAGAGGATACTGTTTGCTTCCAACAGGTGCCGGAACATCCGGACTGACTGCTCCTCGTGCTTCCAGGACCTGCACAAGCTCTCAGCAATGATGACAACTTGGAAGCAGGCGGAAGTTGAGGACGAGGGAAGAAGAAGAGAAGGGAAAAGGCAGAAGGAGGAGTAGCAGCAGGAAAGGGAGCTGAAGGAGCAGAAAATAGTGGAGCAGGAGCAGGAGCAGGAGCAGGAGCAGGAGCAGGAGCAGAGGAGCGCACCTTAGGTTTGCCAGGAGTTCTTGGTCTTCGATCTCAATCCTCCTGCGGCAGAGAAAGTAAGATCACCTCAACTGGTATCAGTGCCCTCTCCTTCTCCCTCCCTCCTCGACTTTCTCTCTACTTGAGGGAACAACTTTCGTTCACTGTCTTTCCTCCTCCTCGCCCCGACTCTACCTGCCGTCCATCAAAACATGTTCCTCTCCTTCTCTGCACCTTTCGCTCCTCCCGCTGCTCCTCCACCCACACCTCCTTCCATACCCCTCACCTCAGAAAAGTTTCAAACTTGTGGGAGAAAGGGCCATGTCCGAGGTCGTGGCAGAGGCCAGCCAACTGCATGCAAGTGACTCTCGGGCATCCTATCACCTCGGAAGCAACCTGAACGCACAGGATGTCTCGGTCGTCGATGTTGAGCAAAGGCTGATCATCCCGAATCGCTCGCAAGATCTGCATCGTGTCAATCGAGTAGGACGACTCACGCCGTCTCCCCCCTCACACACATCAGCTTCCTCCTCTTTCATCTCCATCTCCCTCATCTCCATGAATCCCTCCTTCTCCTACCCCCCTCCTTCCCCGTCCCCTTTCCCCCCCTCTCGTCCGCTCTCCCTTCCTATCCCCTCTGACCCTTTCCCTTCCGCCTCTTCTTCCCTCCTTTCCCCCTCTGTCCTCCTCCACATTCACCTGCCCTGCTTTGAAAGCGACGCCAATAGAGTGCTCGAACCTCGTGTGAGTAGCAGAGGGGAAAACAAACTCAGCAGCTCCGAGCTGTTTCAACTTTCGCAATCTCTGGAACTAGTAGCATGTAAGGCAGAACAACTGTGGAACAGCTCGGATGTACCTGGGGAGTGTCGATGACAGCCAGCAGGAGAGGAGGGAGGGTGATTTGACCGTGGATGCAGTCGTGGAAAGTTTTGGTCTTCCTCCTCTGTATCCTCTTTGTGTCTTGACTGACTTGGGACTGTGAAAACACTCCCCTGGCCCGCAGGTTAGCACAAGAAACAGAAAACTCCAACTCTCCCCCTACCTCAGCGAGCTGGATTGGGACGACAAGTCGTCGTGCGTTGACTGCAGCCGCTGCATCACGGTCACCGCAGAGCTCAATCAGCTCTTCCCCCACCCCGCACCTGAACTTTCCCGCTATCCTCTTGCGATCCCTCGGATACGAAAGGCAAGCTCCTCCTGCTCCTCAATCAGACCTGGGAGGACCTGGGAGGGTCTTACTTCTTGGAGTAATAGTCCCTGATGCTGTGACTTGTGGACGTGGGTTGGTTTGACCTTTCCCTTTCATGGCCCCAGACATGTCGTCAGATCATTCGGAGCTAACTAAGCTACTTTGACGGGGCGCCTGCACGAGCAACCTGGAGGAACGCTTACAGGCATCAAACAGGATTCATCGCATTTGGGGGAAATTCATGTTGTAAGAGCATTTTATCGCCAACTTGTCCCTGCATCAACATCTGCTGAATACACCCGCTTGTCTTCACCTAGTGAAGATCATAGAAGTTCTTTAGTAAGTGTCCTAAAAGATAATTCCGATTCATCCCAGCTGAATGTCTTCCTGCCTGTGGTTTTCTGATAGTTTCCTTCCTCTTCTCTCTCCTCCTCCTCCCCCTCACGGTCCAGCAGCTTCCTCCTCTGCTCCTTGTTGCCTCGACCGCGCCCTTGCGCCATTGGGCCCCATCCAGGAACCATCATTCTAAAACTCTTTTTAGATTTTAAAAGTTCAAAATCGAGTGACTAGAGCCGGACCGGCTCCGGGCCCGGCCAGCCCGGCCCGGTATGCACCGGGCTCCCCCGGGCCCGGGCCATACCCGGGTGATCACGCCACTGACGATTCCCCCAGCGCTTGTCCCCTGATCTTTCTTGTCTCCTCTTAAGATATTCCCCACATGCCCCCTCCCCCTCCTTCAGAGCCGAAGCCTGATCTCCCCCTCCACCCCACCCCTTGTTCTACTCTCGCATCCTCCTCATCTTCCCTTTACCCCGTACCCCCTGTCGCACAGTACACCCCACCTTACTACCCACACTTTCCTAGTTTAATCAATGGTAATAGCACCGGTCATGTACCCTACCCCCGTCCTACTCACCCTCGTGGAGCATTCCCCACGAGTGATTTAACCCCTGTCACCCTCAAGTTTTTACCTCAACTTTCCCAACACCCTACCCTCAAGTTTTACTACCCCACCCATCTATTCTCCAGGCCCACAACGAGCACCCCTCCTATCTAAAGTTGCAGCCGAAGGACCCCACCCCACGCATGGCTGTTTGTGTTTTTCGGCTCCCTGGGGTTGAAAGGGTTTCAAATCAACTCGATGTGAAGCATTTTAGAGATCTTTTGTCGTACCTATTTTTGTATTGAAAAAGATAGATTAATTATCTAATATGTATTTAAATTGAACCTTTTCTACTGCATCCATCAAGATTGTACCTATGTACACATCATATAAATAGTTATAGTTCCATCTTTACTTCCTCTGGTATCAAAATTACATTATTTTTAACCTGATAAAAAGACGATTTTTAGAACCCCTTTGAGCTTTTAGCCAAAAACAGGGGGACGGATCATGTGACTTTGAGGGTAGGGTGATGTACCCCACCATACAATTATCCGCTCAATCACAGGGTAGTGAGGAGTATTTCAGAGATCGATATCTTGAGGGGGTAGTACTGGAATGAGGGACATGACCCCACCCTGCATTTGCGTGGGGGAACGTGGGGTCATAACGACGGGTACCGAGCAAGCATTTTTCAATGCCTCATGCTTCGAGGCAGTTTGGCGCTAGTATGCCGAGCCTCACGCTGCAGAGGAGCAGGAGGAGGAGGAGGACGAGTGAGGAACGAAGAGAAGACGAGAGAGCATCGGAAGCACTGGGAAGCAGAGAATAGACAGCGGCAGAGAGGACAAAAGAGAGAAAGGAGGGCATAGGAGCAGGGAGGAAAGGAGGGGAGGGATGGAGGACTGAAAGGCAAACAAAGGTAGAGCATGCAGTCGGGTCGAGGAAGGGAACAAACCAACGACATAGTATGTAGCATCGAAATGGCGAGATGGGGTGGAAGAAGCACAGAGTGTGCGAGAAAAAGTTGAGGAGTTTCCATTCATTTATCCAGTACGAGAATGTCCTGGGCATTGAAATCACAGAAGACAGCATCGAGAGGGTGAGGAATCCTTTTCTATTGTGAGAACAAGTGGGAACGATTCCGTGCTTCTCTTTGCCGAGGAGAAGGGATGTAAAGAAACCAGCGGTTGACTGGCGCAAAGCCGTGCTTGCAGTCGTATCATAATTGCTGTTTTGCCTTGTTGTTTGAGGATCAAGATTGGCAGTCTGACATGAGCTGTGTGAACTCACGATCTCAAGCCAGCTCACTTGCTCGTTTCTTTAAGCTACAATCTCTCTGACTCTTGTCTTGGCAGTCGTGGATGTGGACAAGAATACTCGACGACCCTGAGTTTTGCGTTTGCCGCTCTTGTTCGAGCTCGCACGAGTTGAACAACAATCTTTCCCCTGCATGTTCAGACTTGTGATGGAGTTGTGACCTGGACAGGGTTGACTCCGCTCTTGTGAAGTGCCTGAATATCAGGGTTCAGAGCTTTGTACAAATCTACTGCAGGGTTGGTTCTCAGGATGGAAGGCATGGAAGAGCGCAGGGAAACAACTTTCTGTGCCAGGAAATCGTCTCCTGAACTCCTTCCATCCCTACCTCCGGTGATTGTGCTAGATTGACTTCCTATCCAGGGTAACTAAAGGTACAGGTCGGCCCCAGCGCCGCTCCGAATGCAGCACATCAACCTCCGAGGATAGAGTCGGACAACACATACAACGACCCTAATGCAGCCCTGGCGACCAAGAGTGTTCTCTTGTCTCTAGACGACATCAACGACGAGCGCGGGTTCGAAGGCAAGAAGCTGGGACGTCTCCCACCGCCAGGGCACGGTCGGCTGATCAAGGAGTCCAGTCTGTCGCTCTCGCACAACTACCTCTACACGGTAGCAGAGAGCAACGAGAGTGATCAGGACGCGTCTGTCCACCTGCCCCCCGAGGTCTCTTGCGGTGATCCCGTCAGCGGCTTCCTGCCCTTCAATCAGTGCGAGGTCGCCATCTACGACGACGACAACCCTGTCGATGTCGACGGCGACTTCACTCCGACCATGGTGAGAGCTGTCATGAATCGCATGCCCAGCCTCTGACGCGTGTTGCCTTGCTCTACTCGGCAGACTGGGAATCTGTACCGTGGGACCTTTTGCGGGAAGGAGGTTCTTGTCAAGAGGCTGAAAAGCTCCGACGTAGGCGATCCGACCAAACCTGTGTATAAGGACCTGCTACTAGAGGCTAAGGTGAGGAGGCGGAGGGCAGACAGCAGACGTTCAAGTGGCTGGCAGGTCATGACGATGGTGGGGATGCACAAGAATGTTGCCTTTCTGCACGGGGTCCAGATGGGCGAGTTCCTGATGCCGAACCTCATCATCGACAAGCCTGGGGGGCCGAACTTGCAAGAGTTCTTTGGCATGTATGAGGTCGGACTGCCTTGAGCTCGTGGAGTGACTGGATGTTTCGGAACAGTTGGCGGGAGAAGCACAAGGGTGGTTTGAAGAAGCCGACTATCTTTGCATGGAGCAAGGACTTGCTTCGGGGGCTCTCGTGAGGAGCAGCTCATCGACCTGATTGGAACTGAGGCCATTGCAGGTATCTCCATGAGAGGTCGCAGCCGATCTTGCACAGGGACATCCGTCCTGCGAACCTGCGGCTGAGTGAAGGTGAGAGGAGAAGAGCAGAGCAGCTGCTGAGACCGAGCTCGGACTGACGTAAACGCAGACTTGAGGACTGTCAAGATCTATGGCTTCGAGGCTGCGACGATGGTGAGCGCCCGATGGCGGTTTCATGGCGCTGAATCAGCTTCCTGCGTGCAGTATGACATCCAAGATGTATCTATCCCGCTCAACTCTCGAAGATGGCTCATGCATTGTTCTTCAAACCATGACATGTACGGCCCATTCCCTCTCCGAAGAGTTTGCGTCCTCCCCACTCCTGCTGTGCGACTCGCAGCTTCTTTTTCATCCTGCCCCTGCATCTCTCTCCCTGACATCGCTGAAATCGTGTCCAGGGCGCATGACGGGAACATGGAGGTGCCTCTGATCCATCGCCTGTACACGGGGGGTCAGGACGGTAGATACACGGCTCCTGAGGTTTCTCTCGGCAACGCCTTTGGGATGAAGGTAAATGCGAAATTCCCTCCACCGCCTCTTCTCCCTACTGTTCCTCCCTCTCCTGCCCCTTCTCCCTCCTCCTCCCTTTCTTCCAGTAACATCTTCCTCTTCCCTTTCATCTCTTCTTCGCTCCTCCCCATCCTCATCTTCTACTCAGTCGCTTGCCCCTATTGCAATATTTTCCTTCTTATCCTCCCCCTCCCCTCCCCTCCCTTCCTCCTCTACCCCTATCCCCCTTTTCCAGTGCTTCTAACGCATCTCACTTTAACGGTGCCTGCCGGGCAACGTGGACGAGTCAACGTGAAGTTTGACGGCTGTTGTGCAGGCTGACGTGTACGGCTGTGCGCTGGTAATGTGGGAGATGTGCTCGGGAAAGCAGCCGTTTGGAATAGGAGACATGAAGAAGGTGCGAGGGAGAGAGGGAGAGGAGGGGAGGGGGGAGGGCAAGGCAGCAGAAGGGAGGAGGAGGACAGGAGCATGAGGAGAAGAGATTGAAATTCTGGGAACTCAATCTTTGTGCAGGTGCCTTCAAGCGTGAAGCGACAGATTCCCATGTCGAAAGTGAGGCTCGGCGAGAACTCGTGGTCCATCAATCCCAAGTGAGATTGGGAGGAAGGGAAGAGGCGGGGAGAGAGGAGGGAGCATGCGCAAGAGCAGGCAAGGAGGAGGGAGGAAGAGGGGAGGGAGGGAGCACGGAGGGAGGGAGAGAGAGGAAAGAGAAGGAGGGGGGAGGGTGAAGAGAGAAAAGAAGAAGAGAGCTTGTAGAAAGGAGGGAATGGAGCGAAGAGTTGGAACTTTCTCTCATTGTCTTCCTCAAGGGACATCGCGACCCTCAACCTTCGACCTGACGCGAAGCTCGTGAGCTGGAGGCAATTAAGGGAACTCATCCAGCAGGTTTATCCTCTTTGCTGACCTCCCCCCCCCTCCTTGCTGCCCTTCCTCCTCCTCCTCCTCCTCCTCCTCCTCCTCCTCCTCCTCCTCCTCCTCCTCCTGCTTCTCTTCCTTCCCCTCCCCCCCTTCTTCCTGCTCCTTGATGCACTCCTCCTCCTCCTCCTCCTCCTCCTCCTCCTCCTCCTCCTCCTCCTCCTCTGCTCGTTCTTCACAACCAACTCATTTCTCACACTCCTTTGCTCCTACTCTGCTCTTCCTGCATTTCATCTGCCCTAAATATCCCCCCCTCCCTCGTTCTTCCCTCCCTCCTCCCTCCTCTTCTTCCCGTCCACCCCTTTCCTTCTCTTCTCTTCTTCCTCTTCTCCTCTTCGCTTCTTCCTCTTCTTCGCTTCTTCCTCTTCTCCTGCTCTTTGTCATCTGCGTCGTCCCGACTGCCTCACGTCCTCGACTCCAGGCGTGGGATCCAAAGCCCAGCAAGAGACCTTCTGCCTTGAACATGCTGCAGCAGCTCGAGACACTGGTAGCTCCTCCTCCTCTTGCTCCTCCGTTCTCTCTAGGCTCTGCTGTCTTCCTTCCTTCTCTCCCTTCTCTGCCTCCTCTTCAACTCAGTTCGCTCCCCCTCACTTCTCTTCAGCATGGCTGCCCCAGTGAGAAGGCGGATCCTGCTCCTCGTCTGGACATAGAGTCCCGAGCCTTCTATGATGTGAGCCACAATCCTACTCCTCCCCTCCTTGCTTTGTCCTGCCCTCTCCTCCTCGTTCTTCCTCGTCCTGCTCTTCTCCCTCCGACTCTTCCACCCGTCGTCCCTCAATCCCTCGCCCTCTGGCTTCTTCCTTCGAATTCCCCGCCCGTTCGCCGTCCTCCTTTCTCATCCCCAATTCTTTCTTTCCTCTTTCTCCTCCTCCTCTTCCACCATCATCACCATCACCACCACCACCGCTCACTGCTACTGCCATGATCAGGTGGCTGTTTCATGTTCGTCTTGCAAGCTCATGTAGCTGGACCGGGAGGACGAGGAGGACGAGGAGCATGTTCTTGTTCGTGTTCTTGTTGATATCAGACTAGCTTAGACTGGATCTGACTGTGAATGTGACAAAGGAAATCCACGTAACTGACAACAGTCGGGGCTCGGTCCTGCGAGGAGTTAGACGAGGAGCAGGAGCGGGAGCGGAAGTGAGAGCGGGAGAAGAAGCAGGAGGGGAAGCAGGACAGGAGTGGGAGGTGGAGTAGGAAGAGCAAGGGCAAGGAGGGAAGAGGTTGAGGCGTGAAAGGGAGAGGGGATCAGAAGGGAGGAGATCAGAAGGGAGGGGATCACCTCTACTAGGTATGAGAAGAACTGAGCCTCTAAGATGTCTTTCTGCTGCATGACCTGCGACAGCGGCGTCAAGGAGGAGAAATGAGAGAGAGAGGAGGAAGAAGAGATGAGGATGCGAACGAAGAGAGAGAGAGGGGGGTTTGGGGAGGGGGGAGAGGGAGGAGAAAAACGGAAGATTGAGATAGGAGGGAAGCGAGTTGAAAGGAGACAGGACGGGAGAAGGTGGAGTAGGAAGGGTCACCTCAACGATGGGGAAGGAAGCTTTACGAGATCTGATTTGATCGACGATTGCGACAACTCTCCTGTAGGAGGGAGTGAGAATCAGCAAGGAGGGGCAGCTATGACGATGAAAATGATATGATCAAGATGCGAATGATTTGAATAGGAATGGGGAGGGGGGGCAGGCAGAGGAGGTGGAGGAGGAGGAGGTGTGCATGTGTTTGTTGTGTGTGAAAACCTTGAGAGGTCGTTGTCGTGCTCAACCAGCTGCAAATCAAGTGAGAATGCAGAAATGAAGAAGTGATGAAAAGATAAGAGAGGGAGACTTCCATAACAAATGTGGAAAAGCAGGAGGAGAAGCAGGAG